CTCCCTCTCTCCCGCTCATTCGCAGCGCGACGCGCTGGAAATGAAATGCTTTCGGGCCGCGCCGCGCTCGCGCTTCAGTTTGTCGGGTGGCGCCAGGTGTGTCGACGTATCGGCGCACCTGGCGCACCTGCCGCCGCCCGGCGCCGCCGAGGTGTTAAATTCCGCAAAATAACAGTTCTGGCGGCGACGGCCGAGCCGCGGGCGGCGCCCGCCGCCACCCTCCACAGCTGCAAGTGCGCCCTGCTCCCCATTGGCTCCTCTGGCCAGGTGCGTGTCGCCGATGGAGCAGAGCGGATCTGCAGCTGCAGGTGCCGGCCCCGGGCCATGTGCGTGTCTTGGGGACGCCGCCAGGGGTACAGTGCAGCTGCAGGCAGGTGCCTGCTCCGGGCCATGTACGTGTCTCGGGGACGCCGCCGGGGGTATAGCGTAGAACTGCAGCTGCTCCAGGTGCTTACCTCCCGGGCTCCTCCGGCCAGGTGCGCGTCTCGGGGGGACGCCGTCGCGGGGGAGCAGCAGAGAGCGGCTCCTTCGCGCAGCGCGGCGCCGCACGGCGTTAGCATGGGAATGTCTCATTAGCACGCCCCCGCGGGGGCCCCACATATGCGGGCGCACGTCCCGCCACGCCTCGCCACGCCACGCCACGCCCCGCCCTGCACGTCGTACAATTGCAGCGGCACTGGCGGACGGGGGAGCTGCTCCTCCCCCAGGCGGGCCCCCTCCTCCCCAACCCCGTATACCTGGCCGTGCTTTGGTGGGGCCGTAAAACGCAGCGCGCAGTGCGCCGCGCTCTTGCGCCGCGCCGTTCGGGGAAAAGTCACGTCAACTGCGATCATCGTGGCGGCCGTCTTGTAGGCGGCGCGGGCGCCGTGATGAGCCCCGGGGGAGGGGAGGGTTCATGGACCGCGCCAGGACGCCGGAATGGATATGAGGCCGGCGGCGGCGGCGGTGGGGGTTGGAAGCCGCGGGAAAAAGTGTTTCTCTGCGGCGGCATAGGGTCTTGAACCCGCCCGCCCGCCCGCGCGGCCCGCTGCCTGCCGGTGAAGTAACGGGATATAAATGGACCTAGGGGGTCGCAGTCGACGTCGTCGTGTACCTCTCCCCCGTGCTGTCCGGACCCTCTCCTAATGCTCCCCGGTGCATGTTCTGCGGGGCGGGCCGGAGGGGAGAGGGGCGGTATAGGAAACCTTTAGCGGCGGGGGTGGTGGGGGCGGTACGGGCGCGGGGGCGGACGGGGGCGGCGGAGCGACGTCTGTCTGGAGAGCAGCGCCCTTGCCCACCATCCCATTGATCTTTGACAGTTTAGAATGTCTAAAGAAGCCCTTTGAGCAGGCGCACCACGGCCAGGACTCACCCCTATCCCCTCCCCTCTCCCCTCCACCCTGAACACCATTCCCGTCTCCCCCGCGCCACCGCCGCCGCCGCCGGTAAAGTTTTCCTCTTGGCCGAAAAGCCCTGCGGGCCTCCCAACTCCCGCGCGCCCGGGCTGATCTGCAGCGCAGATTTCACTGTTTATTCTGACTTTGGCGAATCGCTTTTTGCGATAGTCCTGCGCTGCCGCCGCTGCGCGTGCACCCTGTCCGCTTCCTCCTCCACTTCCTCCTCCTCCTCCTCCTCCTCCTCCGTTCCTTTTGCCTATCTCGCGCTCCATCTATGCTTCCTCCGTTCCCCTTCTGTTTATGTAAATCAGCCGGTGGCCCCGCCCCACCCCGCCCTGCTAATCCCGGTGCCCGGCTCAGCCGCGCTGCAGTGCCACCCGCCCCGCCCAGCCCCGCACCGCACCGCCTGCACTCCAAAAGCGGCCCAAGCGATTTACGCATTTACGCCACTTACAGCGCGCGGGAAGGCGCGCGGCGGTGCGGCGACATTCAGGCGTCGGCTCGCATCACCGACGCTCGCGCGCCTCTCGCGCCGAGATCTTGCAAATCCACCCCTACTTATGTATATTTTTTGTTTGTTTCCTCCCTTCTTGTGGGTTTTGTTTTTTTTTGTTGCCCTGCTTGCACCCCACGATTTTCCCCTCTCCTTCCGCGCGAAAGTAAAGCAATGAAACTCCTCCTCCACTTATTTTACTTTTTCATGATTGTGGGGTGGCTAAGCGCCAGGCAGCAGAAGAGAGCTGCAGTGTGAACCTATAGCGCCCCTTCACCGCCCCGCCGTTCCTCCGCCCCTCCGCCCCTCCGCCGTCGCGCCCCGCCACGCCTTTCCCGTGCTCCCGCCGAGAGAGAGGTTCCCCCCGCCGCCTCCCTTCCTCCTCCTCCTCCTCCTCGCCCTTCGGAATTTCCGTGTTTGAGGAATAAAAGCCGTAACCATGTGTGATCCCCTCCGCAACTCGTGAAATCGAAACCGGCCCATAAAAGCGGCGGCTCGAGGGAAGGGAGAGCGCCCAGCGCAGCACTCCAGCAGCAGCAGCAGCAGTGCCGGGCCAGGCCGGGCCGGGCCGGGCGAGGGTGAAAGGCTTCTGCATCCGGAGGGCCAGGGGGAGAAAGGGAGAGGGGGGCGGTGAGCGCTCCGGAGGGGGCCTGCTGCACGTGTGCGATATCCGCGGGGGAAAAACAAAATTGAAGGGAGCACGACAGGGGGGCGGTGGTTGCGTCTGAAACTGACGGGTGGAACTACTGACTCCCCAGCACTACGTTCGACTGTATCGAAAAAAAATATGGCACAGTTATTTACGAATCGCACCTCATGTTCTGCCTCAGCTCAGCGCGCATCTGTTGGCCCTCAAACTACCACTTTGTGGCCACACCTTTCTGTGTTTTTTGTTTGGGGTGATGTTCAGCTGTACTGAAGGGCAAATATCTCTGTTGAACCACGAGGTGGATAGGCTCGAGCGAGCACCTCCGACCTGGAGGTAGCGTAACCGTCGTCGTCAACCCGGTCGGGGTTCAGCGGGGCGACGCGTCTCCCCTCCAAGAGAAGACGGAGCCTCCAGTGGCGCGGTGCACCTGCGCCGCGAGGCACCGGGAGCAGCGACACGCGCGTGCGATATTTCACACGAGGGCGTCATTTGCGCGCTGCTGGGGGGAGTGGAGGAGGGCTAGAGGGCGGCGCCTATCTCCTCTCCGGTCACCGAGGGAGCCTCCGCCGCCGCCGCGGAGCCTTTACCATGCAAGCAAAGGCGCGCGGCTGCAGGGCTAAGTCGGATACACGACTGAAATGTGGGAATCGTGTCGACGGTGGGGCGGCGCGGGTGGATCGTGAGAGCCGTGGTGCGAGGCGAGCGGGGCTGTGCTGCAGCGCCGGCGCCAGACAGCTGCAGTCAGTTTGAAGAACGTCGTGTACTGTACGGCGGGCACGACGAGAAGAAAAATCTCTTCAACTCGCCCGTCAGTGTAGGTGCAGCTCCTCCTCACCCTCCTCCTGCGCGCGCCGACTGCGCCGAAAGGGGAATAAATATGGTGCGTCCGAGAATGCAGTCAGCGACGACGACAATGAAAGGAAGGCGGATAAAGAAAGCAGGAGAGGCGGTACTAAATCACCGTTCCTTCCCCTGCCTGCCCGGCCGCGCTGCAGCAGGCGCGTCTGGGCCGCGCGCCCGGGAGGTAGGCAGCACGCCCGCGCGCACGCCCCGCCACTGCCTACCTCCCAGGCGCTCTGCCAAGCTGACGCTCCGCGCGCCGCTCCCCAGCCCAAGCTCACTAAATGCTTTAGGCTTTCTTATTTTATTCCGAGGGACAATAAATCCAAGCCTACGCCAATTTTTCTGTTTTAATTCTTGATTTTTTTCCTGAGTTTTTCACTGATTTTTTTTCCATTTTCTGACCATTTTTTTTTCTTAAAGGGTGTACACTGATTTATTCTTATTGTTTCCCTGTTGCAGGCGCTGCGCGCACCATGCTGGGGACGGCCGGGGGCAGCGCAGCGACGCTGGGCGCCGCCCCGTGCGCCATCGCCTGGCTGTTCCGCGGCATCGCCGAGCTCAAGAACCGCGGCAATGCGCGCTTCTCGGTGCGGGTGTCGGCCGTGGAGGCGTCGGGCGGCGGCCGCCAGCCGCTCCGGGACCTGCTCGCCGCCCACGCCCACGGTGAGTGTGGTGTGGAGGAGGAGAAGGACGGCATCGACCAAAGTTTTCACCTCCTGCCCTAAATATATAGGCATTCCGCCGGCACTCTGCGGCCCCCTCCCCCTCCCCACCGATCCCACTCCTTCAAGAATCCCCCACCCCCCACCCCACCTCGATTCGATTCGGGTGTCTGCCGCTGCGCTGAGAAGTTGGCGTGCAGCTTGGTAAGCCTTGAGCTGGCTGGCCGATTAGGCGGACAAGACAAGAAAAGCTGGAGCAAAAGCAGCAGCAGCAGCAGCAGCATATGGCTATCTCGCTAATCCAATAATTACCCCACGATAAGAGTTTTCGGGATCGGGAGCAGGGAGGGGCGCTCTCCCGGAGGCAAAGTAAAGGGGAGGGGCAAGGGGGGCTACTGCGAGGAAGAAGAGGAAGAAGGGCGCAAGTTGTGAATCGCGCGCGTCTTTGCGCTGGGGAAACAATTAAAGTCAGCCGCTCGCAAAGTTTGCCGCCCGGCTGGACTGCTGCCGCCGCCAGTGCTGCTGGTCCGTTGGGGGAGGCCCTGCTGCTGGCCTCGCCAGCCGCCCGCCTGCCAGCTGCACAGGGTCCCGGAGGCCGAGGCCGAGGCCCCCAACGGCCTTGTCGGATTTTTCCCTCTTATATTGGCGCTAAGCTCCCGCGCTCTGCTGGTCTGGGCTGAGAGGGCTCGGTCCGGAACGTCGCTCTGCTGCGCGGCCGCCCGTCGTCCACGATGCTCGCGTTTACACTCTCGAAAATGTTTATTCGCTGGATTGACTGTATCCCTTTTTAGCGCGGTCATTTAACGAAAGAGACACTGTGGCGAGTACTGGGGCGTTCCCTTTATACTGTCTGGCCCTTCGCTTCAGTGGTCGAGCAGTCCGGCCACTGCGGCCGCACGGCCACACGAGGATCCACTCTGGGGCGAGGAAATTGTTCTCGATCGCGTCGCTTCTCTTTCTCCTCTCCCCAGCCAGCCCCCGTCAAGCCC